AATTCAACGTGCTAATATTACTATCGACTTTCGGTATTTCGTTCCAAGTTAAATCATTTCTCGTGTTTGTTACGCTACGAGTTTACCCTTGTGGGCTTCAGTCTCGATAAGGTGGGAACCACCATTTTAGCGTCTCTCGAATTTTTATTTGTTCTAGTACAAACTTTCTTCAAAGTAGCAGTATTGCATTGTGGAAGACAAAACAGCCTAGTCATGGAAGTAATACTTTTTTTTATTCATGCCTTACTTTCTGTGCTCCCTAACAGATTTAAAGAGTGCAGGGAAAAAAAGAGGCCAAGTCACAATTACTAAAATGTTCAGGAAAGCAAATTTAAATTAGACTGACTTAATACAAACTTTTGATACTTTGAGATAATTGATTAAATAATAAACAGTTTTAATCTAAATATTACAAGTGTTAAACAAACAGTAGAAAAAGGTGCTAAGTCCTTGGACATAATTTTAAATGCACTGTTTTGCATTTGCTAATTTGGCTTATTACATGGAAACACACAGGTATTTTACAAAATATGGCGGTACCAGTTCAATTTTGTCCAAAATGTGGCCTAGCCGTGGTATTCTTCCTACACCCTTCATTTGTTTTATATTTATTAATATTCAACCGCTGTGGAAAATAAAGCAACTTGATTTTCCAGCTAATTAACATGCTACATTTAATTATTCCATTTGTATATTTTTTTTCATTGTTTCAATAAATTAATTTTGCTTTTTAATTTTTTGTATTTTAATAAAATATTTAAATGTTTAGTCAAGTTAGGATTGATTCATACTACTCATTTTGTGCTTTATTGTAACAAATATAATTTTATTGCTTCAATAAGGTAAAAACGGAGTTAGTATGAACAAATCTTAATTTGACTACCACTTTTGAACTGTAAATAGTAAATGACAATTTTGAATGTTCGCGCTACAATACTGTCTCCAATTTTAACCTTGCCGTTTCCATTCTAAAAGTAAGCGATCTGTGATCGTATAGTCATTCTTACGCGTTCATTGGAAGAGGTTAAGGTTTGTGTGGAAATATTAGTTTTTGTGAGCTTATTTATATGGAAAGGATACTATAATTTCCAAAATCGATGAAGAGTGTAGTGACATAAGCGATAACGTATTTGGCGATATAAAAACAGAAAAATAGAAAGTCACACGGACGCGTGGCAGAAGTTGCGAGTAAAATTAAATTGTCCTAGTTATTAAAATGACCTATTTTTTTTATTATTATATTCAACGAAAACTAAATTCTGTACTAGCACTAATAATGACAACATCAATACAAATTGAAAATTAGTAAGAACAAGAAGGTGGTCTCATAGCTGCAATGAACCCTTTCTAGGATAAGTCGCGTTGACTTATCCCGTTTTTGCACCAAACCAATGTTGTCTTGAAGTGGGCGTGTCTGATTATATTCGCCATATTTTTAGCGCGGGATTTCGCATTGTTTTGGGCTTGGTGCTTTAGTAGTGCCAGTACAAAGTAATCAGTGCATGAGTGTAGTTGTTTTCATCTTGCGACCACGTGTTTTCAATGTTGCGATCGAGTTACGATTCGGATGAATCCGAACCATTCCAAGACTCTGGCAGTGAGTACCGTGCTAGCACTTCAGAGAGTGTGACCTCTACAGCAGGCTCAGAAGTGGTAAATGAAGAAATGAATAACGAAAATCTTGAAAATAGGGGAAGAAAGAAGAAAAGAAACCCTACAAACTGGCAAAGAAATATAAGAAAAGCTAAACGAGCAAGAGGCGAAGCTTATGTTGGAACTCGAGGGCAAGAGGTTGCAGCTAGACAGCAAGGCGCTGCTTGTGGCTGCAAAAAAGCGTGCTTTGATAAGCTATCCGCTGATAAACGCTTGGAAATTATGGTTTCGTTTAATGCATTGGGTGACCAAGAGAAACAAGATTCCTATTTGGCCCATCTAATTTCTGTTGACCATAAAAAGAAAACGCAACCACGTAAATTAAATCCCAAGAACCGCACATATGCATAAATTTGTAGGTGAAGTTGCCTGGTTTTGAAATAATCGTGTGTAAGACAGCATTGGTTCGATTACATGGAATTGGAAAAAAAAGATTGGAACGCATATGCAATCACATGTCGACAAACATAACTCCCCCGCCTGATAAACGGGGAAAGCATTTTACCAGACCAAATACGATTCCTGAAAATATCATTCAACAATTAAATGATCACATCAGATCGTTCCCAAAAAGGGAGTCGCATTACGGTCGCGGAAAAAGTGCCAAGTTTTATTTATCTCCTGAATTAAATATTAAAATCATGCACCAGCTTTATTTAAAAAAATACGAAAACCATTGCTACGAACTTCTCCAAAGAGGCGAACGTAACAAACCACTTATAACATACGATTTCTACTTTAGATACTTTAAAGAAAACTTTAACTATAGTTTTGGTAGATCTAGAACAGATACTTGCAAGAAATGTGACTTACTGGATAATAAGTTTAAAAGTACTTTAGATAAGCAAGAAAGAAATGCAATAAAAGCTGAAAAAGATGTACATTTAAAGAAATCCGAATGGTTTTATAAAGAATTAAAACAGCGTACAGAAGAAGCCGAGAAATATAAAGAAATTGAGGTCCTTTGCTTCGATTTTCAACAGAATTTGCCACTACCAAAAGTGCCATCTACAGATGCATTCTACCTACGACAGCTGTGGATGTACAATTTTTGTATTCATTCCGTTAAAAACAAGTCGTCTCATTTTTACATGTATGACGAAACAACTGCAAAAAAGGGAGCCAATGAAGTTATCAGTTTCTTACATCATTATATTACGAACAAATTAAGCCCAGGTGTTAAGAAGCTTTACTTATTTTCGGACAACTGCTGTGCGCAAAATAAAAACAATGTAATGGTCCGTTACTTGGCAGGGTTGTGCAAAATACAAAAATTTGAATCCATAATACATAGATTTCCTGAACCTGGTCACAGCTTTTTACCTTGTGACAGATCATTCGGTATTATTGAAAAGAAAAAAAGGTTGGTGGAACGTATTTACTTACCCCAGGAATATCACAAATTAGTTGAAAAAGCTTCGTTAAAATTTAAAGTTATAACTGTTACGCAAAATATGATTTATGATTTTTGTTCTCTTGTAAAGGAATTTTTTCTCCAAGTGCCAAAAAATCCTAATAAGGAAAAATTTGCTGTTTCTACTTACCGAGTTTTTTTGTATTCAGAACTTTCAGATGAAATTCAATGTAGCAAGACAGCTTGTGGATCTTTACTATTTCAGAAATTTACTTTACTGAATTTTAAAAAATCTGTCCAATTTACAGAAAAAAATACTTGCTATAATGCCTTGTTGCCCATTAAGGATGCAAAATTTAAAAATGTTATGCAACTGGCCACAGAGTACGTACCAAAATCTGATTTGGCATTTTATTACAATTTAAAAAGTACTAATGATCCCCTCGAAAATAATAATAATTCAGGCACAGATGGAGACGAAGATACCTTCTCTGAATAATAATGTAATTTAATATGTAATATCTTGACTATTCGTAAATTTTTATTTTTGTGACTTATCCCGTTCTTGTACCAAATAAACAAAATTCAAAATTTTTGCAGCTTTTCTTTCAGTAAATTACCCCAGGTCTCATTTTTTTGCCAAAACTATTTGTTTTTAATAATATAAAGTAATAATATTAATAATAAAAATAATAAAATAAATAGTATATTACATTACGAGTGTGGAAAGTGACATTTTTCACACGAGTGGGAAATATTGTCGCACGAGGCGTAAGCCGAGTGCGACTATCACACGAGTGTGGAAAATCACTTTTCACACAAGTGATGTACAATATTTTTCCTACGACCACAAAATAATTTCATCAAAAAATGTAAAACCAGATTATTATAATAATTAAAATGTATTTAAAAAAATAATCAACAATAATCGTATTTATTAAATTTTCATAATTTCTAAACAAATAAAAAAAAAAAAAAATAAAAAAAAAATAAAAAAAAAATTCTGGCACAGCCAGGATTCGATCGCGGTCGTTGGACGGTCTCAAATTGCAAAGTTGATGCTCTAACCAACTGAGCTAACAGGCCTTACGGTAATTGATTGATCTAATCGCTCATGTGTTTAACCAGAATAAAAAGCAAATATATCTTAGTTATTTTAAAATTATTTTAAAAATAATTGTTAAAGATAAATATCTAGGATCTAATTTACAATAATTTAACAATCATATCGATTTTAGCATTAATATGGACATTACATAGATCAAAATAGAAATTATGTGTTTGACATTTTCTGACAGCTACTGCGGAAAGTAGCATATTCTCATTTGGGTGGAAAGTAAATTCTTATTCATACGCGTGTGATATAGGGCACTTTCCATAGGTCTATATAGTGTGATATGTGTCACTTTCCTAAGTGGTCGTAGGAAAAATCGTTTTTTGAACATTTTTGAAATAGTGACTCATCCCCTTTTTGCATCAAGGTCCTCAATTTTTATCTCGCTACTATTCAAAAGATGTATTACCCTTCCCATTTAAGATTCTAATGGTAACATCTACCCCTTCTAGGGTGTTAAACCATGAGAGCTAATAATATTAATTGCAAGTATCCCTCTTAAAAATAAAATGTTTTCCTGGAAGAAAGATATTAGGAGTGGGAAGTTTTCATTGGCATAACATTATTGACGTTACACATATAGGCTTAGTATGCATAAATGCATTTCTTCATATACACCGATGCTGTACTGGACGTATTTGTAGATTTGAGAAAGAAGCTTACCGTCGGTTGGATAGAACTAGAAGCCTGGGTTCGACCCCAACGACGACAGGTTTTTTTTTTAAATCTACAAGTATTTGTTTTCACCATTGGGTTCCGGGTATGGTCTTATTAATTCGTAGGGAATTGTTAGGATTTGTTTGAGAATTATCAAATTATTTTCAAAAATATTTTAAATTATATTCGAGTATATTTATAATGAAAGATTTAATGTCTTACCATTGCCCCATTGGTCTTGTTTATCCTCAACCATAACAGTAAATACAAAATGTCCACTCATAGAAGATTCTACATTAAATGATGATACTATTTTACCAACATCATTACTTGTTGAAATTTCGAATGGGGGTTTATTAATATTATCCAGGCCATTACCAATTATGTTTATATCACCAACAATGGTGTAATTTAATTTTCCTTTATCTATAGCATCCGGATCAGTCGCCTATAGAAAATCAAATGAATAATTTGTTTTAAATTAAAATAATTGAATAAATTTTAAAAGCTGCAATAGACCTTACCATTATTGATAATCTCTATTACTCATGCGCAAATTCTATTTCCGCATAAAATCATCAAAATTTATTGTCGTTATGATTCCCACCATTTACACATCCGCAAATGTCATATTGTTTTTGCGTTTGATAGTATTGGTAAGGGAGTCAGTGGCACTTTTAGGTGTGTTATCTTAAAGAAAATAGAATAAAGAGCCCTCGATGAAGACGTCTTAAAAAAACCTGTGCAGAAAATGCTGTCATAGAAGGGCAAGCTTGACACATTTTTTTTATTACTTACTTCAAAAGTAAATAGAAAAAAGTTGGCTGCTACCTTATTGAAATTCGATTCACAGTAACTTCTTGCCTGCTGATAGGGCATATCACCGCCAAATCTATTGTAGCCGACGATTTTGATTAAGAATATTTATTATTCTATTACAGAAAAGAATGAGTAAATAAAACATATAATAATTTTATGCCAATTTTCCACCTCTACCAAGGTGACAGCAAACTTTTTTTGTTTCTATTTTCTATATTGGCGTTTTGAAGATGTCATCATCGAGCGCTCCATAGCTGGTGCGTCTGCAGCAAAGTATTTCCATCTTCTACAAGGTAAGAATTAACAATAACTTTTTAATTCAGGCTTGTGCAAATGTGTTCAAAAAAACCATCACTGAGACTCCTACTATATAGACTCGATGGCAGTTATCTCAATTAACGATGACATGGGCAGAGATTAGGAACATAAAGATAGAAAATGCAACGACCACAGCAACGATGGCGTCATCTATGCGTCTCAGATGTTAACTAAAGGTATACGTCGTTTGTAGACAGATCAGTGTTGCCAAATATTTTTTTGAGAACGAAAATGACTGCCTTCAGAAATTACGAACGGCCTATGAATTTTTGCAAGTAGTTTTTTATTTTTATTGTTTTTTTTTTGTTCTGAAGTTGTTGCAGATATTTAAATAAACCTAGTTAAAAAGGGAAGATCATATTTTTACCTACAGTCTCACTGATGCAATCGTACATCGTACAGATAGTTAAAAAATCGTATTAATACGATTTAAATCGTACGGTTGGCAACACTGAGATAGACAGTAGACAACAGTTTGTAAACATAAATGTCAATTTTATGTATATCGAAGAATTATTTAAATTTTGAGTTAATAATTGTGTGAGATGAACTAAGTGAAATGGTTGGGGCTGTTTTTGTGTGAAATTTGAGCACAATATTTATATTTTGTAATATCGGAAAACGTATTGCATTAGTAACACAAGCCACATGAATAAATTTAACAACCCCAATGTTGCGTTCTTTAATTAACCAAAGTAAGATCTAGTCATGTAAGTAACACAAATAGTAACCACTTTTGTCACAAAGTAGGTATTTATTTTTTTATGTTTTACAACAAGAAAATGGCTTCAAAACGTTTGAAAGAAGATAGAATATAGGATGAAAAATATCTAAATTCCTATTATTGAGTTTGCACTCAACATTTTTAAATAAGACACCATTGGCGATTCGTTTGGAAAATAAGAACAAAAATATAATGTTACAAATAACGATCAAAAATTAAATAATATTTGTCATGAATAGATTTACAATAATTAATCAATACTTGTAAGTGTAGTATTCTTTTTAATAAATAATTTATCGTAATTACATTGATTAAATTTATTTACAAGAACATGAGAGTGCAGTCGACATTTATACAACCTTCATTATCAGGTTTTGAAATTTCCCGCTGCTTTCTTTTATATCGATGAAAGCGCCACATAGTGGGTCAGATGTTAACTACGTTATAGATAATCGTTGTTAAGCATTGGTTTCTTATGAGCGTTTCTCATCTTTATCTTCCTTATCTCTGGACATGCGATATTCGTCGTAGCTACTCTATCAATTTTAAAACCAAAATAAAAAAATTATGTTGTTTGGAAAATTACTAGATTAAAATATTCTCGCGCGTTTTTCGCGCATGAGTAATGCTAAATTGTCGAATAACGGTAAAGGTACATTGGAAATTATTATTTTTATTATGATTGATTAATATGATTATTATAAATAATATGATTATTATGATTATTATTTTTATGATGATTATGATTGATTATAATTATGATTATGATTGATTATAATTATGATTATGATTGATTATGATTATGATTATGATTATGATTATGATTATGATTATGATTGATTATGATTATGATTATGATTATGATTATGATTATGATTATGATTATAATTATAATTATAATTATGATTATGATTATGATTATGATTATGATTATGATTATGATTATGATTATGATTATGATTATGATTATGATTATGATTATGATTATGATTATGATTATGATTATGATTATGATTATGATTATGATTATGATTATGATTATGATTATGATTATGATTATGATTATGATTATGATTATGATTATGATTATGATTATGATTATGATTATGATTATGATTATGATTATGATTATGATTATGATTATGATTATGATTATGATTATGATTATGATTATGATTATGATTATGATTATGATTATGATTATGATTATGATTATGATTATGATTATGATTATGATTATGATTATGATTATGATTATGATTATGATTATGATTATGATTATGATTATGATTATGATTATGATTATGATTATGATTATGATTATGATTATGATTATGATTATGATTATGATTATGATTATGATTATGATTATGATTATGATTATGATTATGATTATGATTATGATTATGATTATGATTATGATTATGATTATGATTATGATTATGATTATGATTATGATTATGATTATGATTATGATTATGATTATGATTATGATTATGATTATGATTATGATTATGATTATGATTATGATTATGATTATGATTATGATTATGATTATGATTATGATTATGATTATGATTATGATTATGATTATGATTATGATTATGATTATGATTATGATTATGATTATGATTATGATTATGATTATGATTATGATTATGATTATGATTATGATTATGATTATGATTATGATTATGATTATGATTATGATTATGATTATGATTATGATTATGATTATGATTATGATTATGATTATGATTATGATTATTATGATTATTATGATTATTATGATTATTATGATTATGATTATGATTATTATGATTATTATGATTATTATGATTATTATGATTATTATGATTATTATGATTATTATGATTATTATGATTATTATGATTATTATGATTATTATGATTATTATGATTATTATGATTATTATGATTATTATGATTATTATGATTATTATGATTATTATGATTATTATGATTATTATGATTATTATGATTATTATGATTATTATGATTATTATGATTATTATGATTATTATGATTATTATGATTATTATGATTATTATGATTATTATGATTATTATGATTATTATGATTATTATGATTATTATGATTATTATGATTATTATGATTATTATGATTATTATGATTATTATGATTATTATGATTATTATGATTATTATGATTATTATGATTATTATGATTATTATGATTATTATGATTATTATGATTATTATGATTATTATGATTATTATGATTATTATGATTATTATGATTATTATGATTATTATGATTATTATGATTATTATGATTATTATGATTATTATGATTATTATGATTATTATGATTATTATGATTATTATGATTATTATGATTATTATGATTATTATGATTATTATGATTATTATGATTATTATGATTATTATGATTATTATGATTATTATGATTATTATGATTATTATGATTATTATGATTATTATGATTATTATGATTATTATGATTATTATGATTATTATGATTATTATGATTATTATGATTATTATGATTATTATGATTATTATGATTATTATGATTATTATGATTATTATGATTATTATGATTATTATGATTATTATGATTATTATGATTATTATGATTATTATGATTATTATGATTATTATGATTATTATGATTATTATGATTATTATGATTATTATGATTATTATGATTATTATGATTATTATGATTATTATGATTATTATGATTATTATGATTATTATGATTATTATGATTATTATGATTATTATGATTATTATGATTATTATGATTATTATGATTATTATGATTATTATGATTATTATGATTATTATGATTATTATGATTATTATGATTATTATGATTATTATGATTATTATGATTATTATGATTATTATGATTATTATGATTATTATGATTATTATGATTATTATGATTATTATGATTATTATGATTATTATGATTATTATGATTATTATGATTATTATGATTATTATGATTATTATGATTATTATGATTATTATGATTATTATGATTATTATGATTATTATGATTATTATGATTATTATGATTATTATGATTATTATGATTATTATGATTATTATGATTATTATGATTATTATGATTATTATGATTATTATGATTATTATGATTATTATGATTATTATGATTATTATGATTATTATGATTATTATGATTATTATGATTATTATGATTATTATGATTATTATGATTATTATGATTATTATGATTATTATGATTATTATGATTATTATGATTATTATGATTATTATGATTATTATGATTATTATGATTATTATGATTATTATGATTATTATGATTATTATGATTATTATGATTATTATGATTATTATGATTATTATGATTATTATGATTATTATGATTATTATGATTATTATGATTATTATGATTATTATGATTATTATGATTATTATGATTATTATGATTATTATGATTATTATGATTATTATGATTATTATGATTATTATGATTATTATGATTATTATGATTATTATGATTATTATGATTATTATGATTATTATGATTATTATGATTATTATGATTATTATGATTATTATGATTATTATGATTATTATGATTATTATGATTATTATGATTATTATGATTATTATGATTATTATGATTATTATGATTATTATGATTATTATGATTATTATGATTATTATGATTATTATGATTATTATGATTATTATGATTATTATGATTATTATGATTATTATGATTATTATGATTATTATGATTATTATGATTATTATGATTATTATGATTATTATGATTATTATGATTATTATGATTATTATGATTATTATGATTATTATGATTATTATGATTATTATGATTATTATGATTATTATGATTATTATGATTATTATGATTATTATGATTATTATGATTATTATGATTATTATGATTATTATGATTATTATGATTATTATGATTATTATGATTATTATGATTATTATGATTATTATGATTATTATGATTATTATGATTATTATGATTATTATGATTATTATGATTATTATGATTATTATGATTATTATGATTATTATGATTATTATGATTATTATGATTATTATGATTATTATGATTATTATGATTTATTATTATTATTATGATTATTATGATTATTATGATTATTATGATTATTATGATTATTATGATTATTATGATTATTATGATTATTATGATTATTATGATTTATTATGATTATTATGATTATTATGATTATTATGATTATTATGATTATTATGATTATTATGATTATTATGATTATTATGATTATTATGATTATTATGATTATTATGATTATTATGATTATTATGATTATTATGATTATTATGATTATTATGATTATTATGATTATTATGATTATTATGATTATTATGATTATTATGATTATTATGATTATTATGATTATTATGATTATTATGATTATTATGATTATGATTATTATGATTATTATGATTATTATGATTATTATGATTATTATGATTATTATGATTATTATGATTATTATGATTATTATGATTATTATGATTATTATGATTATTATGATTATTATGATTATTATGATTATTATGATTATTATGATTATTATGATTATTATGATTATTATGATTATTATGATTATTATGATTATTATGATTATTATGATTATTATGATTATTATGATTATTATGATTATTATGATTATTATGATTATTATGATTATTATGATTATTATGATTATTATGATTATTATGATTATTATGATTATTATGATTATTATGATTATTATGATTATTATGATTATTATGATTATTATGATTATTATGATTATTATGATTATTATGATTATTATGATTATTATGATTATTATGATTATTATGATTATTATGATTATTATGATTATTATGATTATTATGATTATTATGATTATTATGATTATTATGATTATTATGATTATTATGATTATTATGATTATTATGATTATTATGATTATTATGATTATTATGATTATTATGATTATTATGATTATTATGATTATTATGATTATTATGATTATTATGATTATTATGATTATTATGATTATTATGATTATTATGATTATTATGATTATTATGATTATTATAATTATTATGATTATTATGATTATTATGATTATTATGATTATTATGATTATTATGATTATTATGATTATTATGATTATTATGATTATTATGATTATTATGATTATTATGATTATTATGATTATTATGATTATTATGATTATTATGATTATTATGATTATTATGATTATTATGATTATTATGATTATTATGATTATTATGATTATTATGATTATTATGATTATTATGATTATTATGATTATTATGATTATTATGATTATTATGATTATTATGATTATTATGATTATTATGATTATTATGATTATTATGATTATTATGATTATTATGATTATTATGATTATTATGATTATTATGATTATTATGATTATTATGATTATTATGATTATTATGATTATTATGATTATTATGATTATTATGATTATTATGATTATTATGATTATTATGATTATTATGATTATTATTATGATTATTATGATTATTATGATTATTATGATTATTATGATTATTATGATTATTATGATTATTATGATTATTATGATTATTATGATTATTATGATTATTATGATTATTATGATTATTATGATTATTATGATTATTATGATTATTATGATTATTATGATTATTATGATTATTATGATTATTATGATTATTATGATTATTATGATTATTATGATTATTATGATTATTATGATTATTATGATTATTATGATTATTATGATTATTATGATTATTATGATTATTATGATTATTATGATTATTATGATTATTATGATTATTATGATTATTATGATTATTATGATTATTATGATTATTATGATTATTATGATTATTATGATTATTATGATTATTATGATTATTATGATTATTATGATTATTATGATTATTATGATTATTATGATTATTATGATTATTATGATTATTATGATTATTATGATTATTATGATTATTATGATTATTATGATTATTATGATTATTATGATTATTATGATTATTATGATTATTATGATTATTATGATTATTATGATTATTATGATTATTATGATTATTATGATTATTATGATTATTATGATTATTATGATTATTATGATTATTATGATTATTATGATTATTATGATTATTATGATTATTATGATTATTATGATTATTATGATTATTATGATTATTATGATTATTATGATTATTATGATTATTATGATTATTATGATTATTATGATTATTATGATTATTATGATTATTATGATTATTATGATTATTATGATTATTATGATTATTATGATTATTATGATTATTATGATTATTATGATTATTATTGATTATTATGATTGTTATGTTTATTATGATTATTATGAATATCATGATTATTATGATTATTATGATTACATTAACTTAAATATGGATTAAGAATATCCTGCGTTAACTAATAAATGTTAAAAAAATATACATACGTTAATATCCAAAACTGGAGACCCTAATTTGTATGTAGGCATAACGGCTCCAAAGAAAGACTCCGAAATAAATGATGGTGGATTAAGGTTAGTGCTTAATACCTAAAATATACACAACCCTAATTTGCAACAAATATATAGTCGAGAAAGCGAATAAATCTAGTCAAAATTCCTATTATATTAGTAAATGAATTTTTTATTTGATAAACGGCTAAATAATTTTATATAAGTGTTGCCATTAAGACCCTTGTAAGCTTCTTAACATTTTATTTTAAATATAAAAAATAACACACCTATCACGATATGAAAATACCTCCTGGTATCTAAGAATAGACTTAGGTAGAAAATGAATAGCACATCAAGAAGAAAATAAAAGATCTAAATGCGAAATATAAAAAATAGTGGTTGATTGGCAGAAGATAATTAAATCAGTACATAACAGATTGCTAATCAACAAACAAATATAGTTTTAATAAATACGGCGAATTATTTTAATATACTTTTTTTTACACATAAAAATTCTTTTATTTTCTCTAATTACCTAGTGTGTATACAGGGTGTACCAATAAAAACTCCCAGACCGTATATTTTGGTAAGTAATAGAGATATTTTAATTCTTTAAAAGCCAGTTTATAGAGAACTAAAAAAGCTTCAGTTTTAGGTATACATTGATTTTAAATAGGTCAATATATAGATGGCGCTGCGCTCAAAAATTTTTAATCGATGGGAGGATCTTTTTTGTGTAGCACATCTTGTAAAAAATGCATTTTTAATCAAATTTTGTATTATAAACTAATTCGATAAATCCAGCCATTTTTGATATACAGAGTGCGTCACTCAAAACAGTTTCATCCTGTTTTCAGCATTACTCATTGAATTTTAAGAAAATGCTAAAACAGGTCGATTTTTATTCCAAATTAAAAACATTTTTACAATACAGACATCTGTCATGTGTCAACACCCTCCCTTGCACTTCTCCAACACCTTTATTTTAAATAGGTAATTTACCATGTATGGCACATCATTAAAAAGGTAATTTAATGGGGGATTCAGAAATATTTCTGTACATTGCGTTACTTAAATTCTATCGCCTTCTGGCAGAACATCATTAAAAAGGTAATTTTATGGGGAATTTACAAATTTGACTGTTCATTGCGATACTTTTAATTGTACCGCCTTTTATCGGGATAAAAAAACTAAGTATTATAAAGTGTGAGACCTTATTTAAAAATTTAATTACTAATTTAATGCACCACATTACATTAATATAAATATCCTCCATACTGCACTTGCAATAGTTTGAAAATTAGTCATGCAATATTTTAAATATTATTGCTAATTTTATTTTGTTGCAAGTGCAATATGGAAATAATTATATTAATGTTATGTGGTGCATTAAATTAGTAATTCAATTAGATTTTAAATGAAGTTTTACACTTTATAATACGCTACAGGTTTTTTATCCCGAGAGAGGGCGCTATTTCTGACTTTCCCATAAAATTACCTTGACCTTTACATACATGGTACATTCCTTATTTAAAATTAAGTGGTTGGAGAAGTGGAACGGAGTGGGTTGACAAATGACAGATAGCTTTATTGTAAAATTGTGTTTAATTTGGAATAAAAATTGACCTGTTTTAGCATTTTCTAAAAATCTAATGATTAATGCCGAAAAACAGGATGAAACTGTTTTGAGTGACCCGCTCTGTATATCAAAAATGGCTAGATTTATCGAATTAGTTTATAAAACATAATTTGCTTAAAAATGTATTTTTTACAAAATGCGCTATATAAGAAAGATCCTCACATCGAAAAACAATATTGAGCGCAGCGCCATCTACATATTGACCTATTTAAAATTAGTTTATATCTTAAACTGAAGCTCCCTTAGCGTTCTATGAACTGGCTTTAACACAATTAAAATATCTCTATTATTTACCAAAATATTCGTCATGGGAGTTTTTATTGGTACACCCTGTATACCCTTATGAATAAGATAAAAGATGGTTTACATTAATTTTACATTCATATAACCATATTATTAGGCATATCTTTCATTTATTTACTAACACATAATATCATTTTACCGTTTTTTATTAACAAATTTTGTCATTTGTTCTAAGCCCCGTTATTTTTTAAATTTTTTGTTATTTAATTTTTAATTAAAATACGATTATTATTTCAATTTTAAACTTACATTTATGATGATATTCAAATAAGCGTTGTCAAGACTGCTATATGGATTGGTATCGTTCGAAGCCACTATTTGAAATGTGTAATTATTAGCATCATTATAATAAAAAATCTTTTTTACAGATATTTCTCCAGAAAGTCTATCAACATTAAAAATATCTTCAACATTCTGTTCTCCAACAAAGAAATAATATACAGTTAAATCATCGTCAACGTCATAAATAGCTCTATTTCTTAGTGGTTGGATCTGAGTTGTATTGCTTTCTGTAAAATCAAATTCCCAAGGACTATCATCAGTGAAATATGGTTGCTGGCTATTGTCCAAAAATTTAACAGTAAACGGTACAGTAGTTGAGAAATAGGGTTGTTCATCCTCGCTTGGTGTAACATCTGTTGAATTATTCCAAGCCGTAATTGTCAGCTGAAATATATTTTATTAATCAGCAAGTATTTTATTTAAAATAAAAAACAGTGAAAAAAGACTTTATAATGTTCGGATTTACACATTGAGACTGAAGTTTGGAGATATAGAATTATCCCTAAAACGCTACTACACACAAAATCTACTAAATTTATTCTTTAGTAAGTTTATGATGCACTGGATTTCACTATTTGCATTGTTGCCAATTTAAGTTTTCAGTTTTTTAAATAGTGGTTGATACTTTCTGTATGTCTCAGTTCAAAAGAGGGTTGTATCCCTTCTATTACTTACTTTCGACATCTAGCAAATTTTTATTATTTCTATCACTCGGATATGTCTCCCGTCCTTTTTTTGATTCTTCCATCCATTTTCTAAACGCGTTAGACATCGAAGCAAGATTTACTTGTTACTTTGATTTTCCTCTTACTGCCATATTTATAACCTAAATATGACGCTTATTTAAAAAAATTAAGTTCATAATATGAAAATGAAAAACATGGCAACAATGCAAGTAGGCAAAATCTGATACATCGCATAGTAATACTAATGGTACTAAATTTGATAGATATCTTGTAGACGGTTTTCAAGATAATTTTCATAGGTACTATAGGCTCGCTCTGGATAATACGAGGTCTGTTCCCTTTTAGTCGAGTAAATCCAGACCGCTAACTTGCTTATTTCTGGCAAAAAATAAAAAATTCTACGTAGAATCAAATAAAAACTATAAAATTGTGTTTCTTGTACTATTTTCCACATAAATCTTTGGTTTGCGACATTTCCGGTCTGTGCAGAACTTTTTTATTTTTGAAAAATGTAAAATTGGTAAATATTTGATTTTTTTTTTAATTTGAAGTAGAAACATAAGCGCCTCCAGTAGCTCTAAAATATTTTAGGATGCCACAGTATGTTTGGAGTAAATTTCGACATGTGACATTTTAATTTTTGAAAATGTGTCGGTAAAATAATTATTGGCCTATGAGTCATGATTTTTTTTCTGGTATGGGTCTCGCTGCGTGCGTCTCAACTTGTGTGGGCATTAAGTGCTAGTAGAAGTAAGTTAGTATTTTAAGTGGTTGCCAACAAAATAAATTTCAAATAGGTCTTTAGTGTTAAGCACATGCATTAAGGGTATGTATTTAAAATATGTACAGCCGGTTGCAAGAACGATTGTTAAAATCTCTCATTACCTAATGTACCCATAACTAATTGACTCCTTAAATTATCTCCTAAATGGTAAATTTGGCAACGGTGCTTTTCCAAATGAAAGTATGAAGTAAATTATGACAATTATCGAAATACGCCCCTAACAAGAATTATCTGTCTTTGGGGTCTATTCTGTAACAATTCCTTTATATTTAACGGCCTTTAAAAATATTGGCGGACTTTAAAAATATGTTCGTATTCGTTAATTTACTTCTGTCATTATTTAAACAGATTTATTTAAGATAGTCCTCTAATGTATTTTAAAGATCCGTTTAAATAATGACAGAAGTAAAGAAGAAAATATTTTTAAAGGCCGTTAAATATAAAGGAATTGCTACAGAATAGACCCCCTAGTCGACCATTTAGTAGAATACAGTGTGAAGGTGAACAAAAACGATATGATTTTGAGACTTGTTTACGAAATATACTACCGGTGTGAACTTAGCAGCCAATTTCTAGCAGCCAAAATTCCGAATATTACCGACTGATCAGTAGCGTCGTTTAAATAGAGGCAATTACATTATTAGGTAAAAAATAGGACAGAAACAATTTAAATTCCTACCGAAATTTTGATGTTCTTTTAATTGTCACATCAATATTAATTAAAATTAAAAGACAATAGAATACTTTAAAAATCTTATTATTTTACCCGACAAGGTAATAAGGTCACATCAAAAGGTATTTTACAATATTTATAATGGTAGTATTAACTCAAACAAAAAATATGATAGATAAAATTAAGATTCCCACAAGGGTAAACTACCCCGTAATAATAAAATATTTTATCACTTTAAACTGTGTTCTAAAATATTTAGTTACATTTTTAATCATTTTGGTTAGAAATTCATCAATTTTTAGTTTTAAAAAATCAGTAATAATAATAATTTTTTTTCTAAAATACTTCGGAATTCATCTCTTCATGGTAATCTCCCGTCTTTTTACCTTCAAAAACCAATAATGCATTTTCTACAAAACCTTCAGAATCAGCATATAAAATAATAAGGTGTCTTCCTTTCTTGTAAGGCTTCTCAGGAATTGCTACCTTTAATAGTACTCAGTGTAGAAGGATCCATAATTGTAGATTTTCAAATACAATTGCCTTACTGAAGAACTATTATTTACGAAATAAAGTAAAAAAACTAAGTAATGAATGAGATATCAAATTATAAAATCTCAGGAACTTGTCAACAATATCAACTATTAGCTGATGTTCATGCTAAAAAGTAATGTGTGAAACCTGACTGTAATCTGACTAAATCAGAAGGCTACAGAATTGCCAACTTAAATTCAAATCGCTCCTCTTAGTTTAAAAACAGAGTATAGTAATTTATATTTTTAATGTAAACTATATAACACTAACTAGAAGTTTTTTTAGATCACATTTAAAATAGATAATTTATTTTCTTCTTTGGTCAACTAATTATTTTATTATCCTAAGGGCATTTTACCACTGTTGGGAGGGGCGCTAGTAATTCATATTTTTTACTGTATTTTACACTAATAGAAGTTTTTTATATCACATTTAAAATTGATAATTTATTTTCTTCTTTGGGAAAACTGATTATTTTATTATCTTAAGGGCATTTTACCCCTGTTGGCAAGGTCGCTAGTAATTTATACTTTTACTGTAAGTATATAACACTAATAAAAGTTTTTTAGATCACATTTAAAATTGATAATTTATTTTCTTCTTTGGAAAACTAATTATTTTATTATCCTAAGGGCATTTTACTCCTGTTTGGTGGGTCGATAGTAATTCATATTTTTACTGTAAGTATATAACACTAATAGAAGTTTTTTAGTTTACATTTAAAATTGATTTGATTTGATTTATTTTCTTCTTTGTGTCAACTAATTATTTTTATTATCATAAGGGCATTTTACCTCTGTTTGGAGGGTCGCTAGTAATTTACATTTTTACTGAAAGTATTATTACACTAATAGACATTTTTTAAAAATCATTTACAGTGATAATTTATTTTCTTCTTTAGAAAACTACTTATTTTATTATCCTAAGGGTATTTTACCCTTGTTGGAAGGGTCGCTAGTAATTCGTATTTTTACTGTAAGTATATAACCCTAATAGAAGTTTTTTTAGATCACATTTATAATTGATACTTTATTTCCTTCTTTGGTCAACTATTTTTATTATTATCCTAAGGGGCAATTTTACCCCTATTGGGAGGGGCTATAGTAATTAATATTTTTATTATAACGTATTTTAACTAATACAAATATTTTAGAACACAGATTAAAGTGATAAAATATTTTATTATTACGGGTTAGTTTACCTTTGTGGGAATCTTTTATTATATCTATCATATTTTTTGTTTGAGTTAATACTACCATTATAAATATTGTAAAATACCTTTTGATGTGACTTATTACCTTGTTGGGCTAAAATATTAATAATTTTTTTAATGTATTCTATTGTCCTTTTCAATTTTAATTAATATTGATGTGACAATTAAAAGAACATCCTATTATTAAATTTCAATAGAAATTTAAATTGGTTTTGTCCTATTTCCTTACCTAATAATTAATTGTCTTTATTTAAACGACGCTACTGATCATTCGGTAATATTCGGAATTTGGCTGCTAGAAATTGGCTGCTAAGTTCACACCGGTAAATATACTTATATTTGAAAATACGTAAAGAAAAGGAATTTTAAGAAGATTTAACACTAAAAAATTAGATTTTACGATGATAAACGAAGGAAAATTTTACTAACCACCAATAGTAAGTAGTAATACTTTTAAAATTTTCCCTTTCTGGTGCTTAAATTCAAAAGTGCCTAGCTGTGCCATTAAATATAATAAAATGAGTTGCTAGTAATCATCTTTAATTTGTGTGTATCGTGTGAACGTTGGGATAACTGCCAGGTAAATGTTTTTCTTTTGTTCCCATTTTGCTGGATTTCGTAGCAAAACCGAAGGTCGGCCATTTGCCTTTTTTTATTACCACCATGCCGACGAAGCCGGTTTCTTTTTTTGTTTTATTTTATGTAGATTATAGCTACCCTAACTAATAATATTTTTAATCTTTCTTATATATATATATATATATATTAATATAAATGTGTTATAATTAAATTACTTTGATATATACGCGGGGAGGCAACTAAATAATTAAATTACAAGTCAGTCTGGAAATACAGTTTAAACGAAAATTTATGGCTCCTAACTTATTTTGGCCTTATAAATAGCTTATATTCTGTTCAGATGATATAAAACTTATTATTGTAACTTATTGTGGCCTTATAAATATTTTATATTTTGTTCAGATGATGTAACTTTAATATTTGTCGTGATATTTTATATTCTGTTCAGACGATGTAACTTTAATATTTGTCCCGTTTATGCATAAATCCGTTAGATTTCCAAACTGGCATGTATATGTACTTTTACACACGGTACTGAGGTTCTTTTATTTCTAAACCTGTAGTGGCTCCAAGTACTCAAGTACTGGCTCCAAGAAGAGGTTACTCTTCCGAGTAGTAGCTCCAAGACGATCTTTCAAGTAATGGTTCCAAGAACAAAAATTAAGAACTCCAAGCAGTACCTGTACTTCCAAGTAGTACCTCCAAGTAGTACCTGTACTTCCAAATAGTACCTCCAAGTAGTACCTCCGAGAAAGTCCTCCAAGTAGTGCCTCTAAGAAGAAGCTTTTATATGAAATTTAAGATCATCTAAGAAGATCCAGGCTCTTCTATAAATAAACATTAAGAATCTCCAAGCTCCTGCAGGAAGCTCCTAGTTGCCTCTAGCTTTAAAAAGGGAAGTACCGTACCTACCATACTAAATACCACATAGTCACCATTTATCGAAGTATCTAACAGTAAATTTAAACAATCATTCATTCATTCAACTCCATTCACTAACTATTTAATTTGTAGACTTATGTAATACTTAAATTTCACTTTTTTTATTAAATGTATTAAATTTTCTCACTTTCTTTTATTTGTCAGAACCCATACAGATAACTTTAAGTACCAGAGACGGACTCAATTAAACGGGACATTTAAAATCAGATAAGTTTTCCAAGTTACTGAAAAACTTGGTGGCTCTCAACTTTTTTTGTCGTTGTCTTATTTTAATATCTTTCATTTTATCTTAAAGTAGATCTTGGCCCGCGAACAGGTCAAGTTACTCTGATTTTATTTGTCCTGGTCAATTGTTGAACCCACGCATATCAGCAATTTGAGCTAAATCACTTACTAAATAAATTAACAACATAGAACTCTAGAAAGAAGGTAACAAGGTCCACTATTTTACAATCTATACTGACCATAAACCCCTTACTAAATCTCTTACAGCCTCTTTAGAAAAAAGGCCAAGTCAATTTCGATTCTTAGAATTTATTGCTTAATTGCATTTCGAAAGGAGTTGGTACTTAGATCACTGACTAATTCTAAATGAACAGCTTTGCTTAAAAAGCAAACAAATATGCAAAGATATGCCTTTACGATGGCCCGATTTCTTAACTTTCCATCCTTTACATTGAAGGGGCCGACGTAATTTACGCCTACCACGTAGAAAGGACGATTGGAAGTAACACGGTCTGTCGGAAGATCTGCCATTTTCTGCTCTAATACCCTTGGTTTTATGCGAAAGCAAGTTACGCATTTGTTTATAATGTCTCGAATGGTAGATCTTCCATTTACGATCCAAAATTGCTGACGAATTGAAGCTAAAATTGTTTGGGAACCCGCGTGTAATTGCCGATGATGCTCGTTTAAAATTATTAAACGTGTTAAAATTTGATGTAAGTTAAGAATAATTTGATGTTTTTGATTAAAATGAAGATTTGATTTTGATAATCTACCTCCTACGCGAAGAAAACCTTTTGAATCAAGAAAAGAGTCTAAATTCCTGAGACGTGAATCGGAGGGTAGCGGTTTGGAACTATTAAGGCATTTAATTGTGCTACAAAATGATTCAGTTTGAGAAATTTTGACTAAGATTAACAAAGAGTTGTCTAACTCTTTTGTTGTTAGAGTGTTGTTGGCAAAACGAAGACACAGTGCAACGATGCGCTAAGGTTTGTATAAAGTTGAAAATTTTGAAAATAATTGAAGTTCGTTAACGATATTAATTAGAGTGATTTGTGGTTTACGTTTTTCTAAATCATTTGGTATTAAATTAATATTTTTTAGCCAGTAGTCTTCATTTTGAAGAAGCATCTGCTGTCCATTCCACCAAAAATTGTTATTATTAAGGTTAAATGCAATCGTTCCGCGAGATGCGATATCGGCGGAGTTATGTTCAGTAGGTACGTGGCGCCACTGAATGTTGCTTGTTAACGTTTGAATTTCGGATATGCGACTTCCTACAAATTTTTTTAAAGTTTTACCAAAAGTGTGTGGCAAATGGATTATGTCCGATCTCAACCCCCCCCCCCCCTTCACACTAAACTATCAATTATGACAATGCTTAAACATTTTTATTTTTATTTTTTCTATTTATCTTTTATATTTATTTTGTATTCATTGTTTTTCATAATATCTATATATTTCTCACCTTTACTATAAAATTAATGATTTATTGGGTTGCTCTGTAAAGGGATTTATATCTGTTGGGCAATAAAGGCTATTATAATACTAAAATATCATATTTAATTAGGTCTTGAGATTTAAACATATGCGTTTTTTTCGTATAACTATAAATCAAAATCTTAATTTGTTCAACGTCAATTCATAATCTAGAACTGAGAAATCGCGTATCAGAAAAATGTGAAGAGATCGACAACACACTGCAAATGTTGCATGAAGTTTTTGCTGGATTACAGAGAAGAGTTGGTTTGTGTTTATAATTGAGTACTGAAATATTAGAAATTAATTTAATGCCAAGAATATGTGAAGAATCCTGACAGAGGTGCAATATATGCAATTGAAAAATATGGCCACCACTGAAAAAACCCTTTGTTCAGTAACCTCCAAAAATTTCGCCAGACTTGGGTGCAATGACATATGACATTCTTCACACATTATATTACTGTCCATTATTTCCGATATTCAATTCTAGACGTAAATAGACATTTTTAACAATCTGTGTTTGTGTAAATTTTGATTGATTTGTTTTTCTTTGTTGCAGTATCATTTCGAGGTATTAAACTTCGTTTCGAAAGAAAATGTCAAATAATAATTGAAATGTTGTGGAAGTGGCTAAAGTATCAACCCAAAACATTTAAATATCACAACCAACTGTTGCAGTTCTGGCTATCTATCCTGATAATTATTTGGGGCTAAACACACATCAGTACCTACCAAAGTTAGAAGATACGCAATGCCCTAGACAAGAATTACTATATTTTTTAATTATAATGTTTTTGTAGATTTAAATTGAAAATTGAAGTTGAGTGCAATACGTTTTTCTACGGGCGTGAGAAAAGTAACAAAGAAAATGATATTTACATACCAAACTATTTGGAACTGTCGTCTAATTTTTTTTTAGTTATCGAAAAGAAAAGTAGCAAGCCTGATAAGAATAAAGTTTAACAGGGTGATAACTTATCAATGTCAGCAAAAGAGCGAGTTTTAGGTCATAAGTAAAAAATGTACGTTAAATTTTATATATATAAAAATATTCCAAGATACATATTAATACTTACTTTTAAAGCCTTATTAATAACTTTATTTGAGTCAAAGTTACTGTTAATTTGTAGTTGTGAAATACAGGGTTCTAATTGTTTCAGTTCAAATATATCACCATAATCTGTAAATATAAAAACATTATATCTGTTTAAAGTACAGTTTTATTCCTAAAATAACATACATTTAATCATCGGTTTCCCAGGGTCAGATGTGAATTGTGTAAATAAAAAAATTTTAAGTAAATTTAAATGATCCATATAATTCAATATTTACACAAAAAACAATTAATAATGTTAGATACGCTATCAGAATAGCAGCTGCATCTCAATACTATAATATATAAACTTTTTATAAGTACTTAGTCGAATTGCCAATATTTACCTTATTAGGGCAATTGGTATACTTTTATAATATGAATTGAATAAATAGTGCAGATGTAATTGTAAATTAACTTTGCTAATATATGGAACCACCTCTGAGGTACCAGCTTTCTAACAAACAAAAATAATCATCAAAATCGGACAGAGTGTTAAAGAATTATTTTTGGATAAAAAATGAAGAGATCACCCATAAGTTAACTCCTTTCTAACAAAAAAAAAGAATAATAGAAACGTGATAACGTGATAAAGAATTATCGCTGAACATACATAATAAAAAATATTCCGACAAATTGAGAACCTTTTTCTTTTTTTTTAATACGTTTAATAAATGTATTTTTAACCGAATTTATAGTTTTTTTTTTTATCAAAGTTTATTCTACGTCAAAACACCTAATTTTATTATACTTCGGTTGGTCACATCTGAATAGGCCACCCTGTAGTAGGTTATACTTTTAGTGCTGTCATTCGCGTGGACTCACTGTTCCGTCTCAGCCCCTGTTTACTTATTATACTTCTTGCGCTAAAACAGTCGAGTTTGATTAATTATTATATTTCGAAATAATTACACGAATATACCGGTAAAAAATATAATGTTCAAAATACCTGAATAAAATAAATGGAAAGGCAAAGAATTAGAAAATATAAAAAAGAAAATCCCGAAGTTACAGCGATATGAATCAAGTTTTCTACCACTTAAATTTATATTTTTAAGAGTGTTGACAAGAAACCAGAGAGAGAGACAAATATTATGCTTCTGGCAACCATTTTGGGATCTACGTCAATTCATTGCGCGACAATTATTCAGAGCCACAAAAATATTTTGTATTATAATTGAAAGTGTTTTTTTTTTATTATAATATAATCAAAAGTTTTTATATATACACCGTGTCCCACGTAAGGCGGGCATTACAACTTTATGGAGAATAAATTAATTTGTATTTTCGCCATTTTCTGAGTAAACATAATCGAATATGCTCTTTTGAATTAAAATAAAATGAACTCTGTGCAACTTCCGGTTATATCGGAAATGATTCGTAAAGCAACAACTAATCATGTTGAAAAAAGATTGTTAAAATGTTTAGAAGCTAACGGGGGGCATTTTGAACATTTGATAAAATGATTTTTTTAAACCATGTGCTTTTAATAAAAATTGTTTTTAGTTGGTATGTACCTTATCATTAAAAAAATTTAAACTTTTTAAACGACATATTTTGTTGCAGAAAACTGTAAATGTTTTTAAAAGTACATCCCATCTACTACTTCTGGCTAAAATTTCAAGTATCCAACAGAAATAGTACCTGAGACAGTCGACTTTAAGAAAATGCCTACCGGCGCGACGACTAAAAATTAAAAAAAAATGAATAACGCCAAATCCGCTATAATTAGAATAGGCAAATAAGGTATCATTGTTTACAGAATTTCATGCTGAATCTAAAATTTAAAAAATATATAGGGTGTTCAATTTAAAATAAAAAAAGTTTTTTATGTTTAAAAAAGTTCATTTTTAAAAATAATTTGCAAACGCCCTGTACAACAAATAATGAATAACTAAATATTCTCAAGAAGTACATCCCATCTACTACCTCTGGTTAAAATTTTAAGTATCTGATAGATATAGTACCTGAGATAGACGACTTTAAGAAAATGTCTAGCGGCGACTAAAAATGTAGAAAAAAATTGAATAACGCCAAATCCGCTATAACTAGAATAGGCAAATGGGGTACCGTTGTTTACAGAATTTCATGCTGAATCTAAAATTAAAAAAAAATATGGGGTATTCCCTTTAAAATAACGAAGTTAGTGGTCACTTCCGGTGTAACCGGAAGTTGCACAGAGTTTATTTTATTTTAATTCAAAAGAGCATATTCGATTATGTATACTCAGAAAATGGCGAAAATACAAATTAATTTATTCTCCAAAAAGTTGTAATGCCCGCCTTACGTGGGACACGGTGTATATATATAATAACTGAGCATCCTACTGCATTACTGTTTTTAGAGGCGTCAGTATATAGTACTTAATTTGGAGTTATGCATAATATCCAGAAAAATTTCTGTTAGGAGCTCGGTGGAGGTGTCATGTTTGGAGTATTTGCTTAAGCTTAGGTTGATTTTCGATAAATTTTTATTCCAATGAGGGGTGAAGGAACAAATAATAGGTGTAATTTGTTTAAGATCTATATTGGAAGAAAGTGGTGGCAAACAATGGCTGACTTGTTGAATTCTTCTGGGTGTCTAAGAGTTTATGTTCTGTTTGTGTATGACTTTATAAGTAGGATTTAGCTGATTTGCAGATACTCTGGAACAGTGTCAAGAGAAGCTGTTGTCTTCTTAGCCAGAGACGAGGCTCATTGACTTCGCACCATTGGGTTTCTACTTGGCCTGACCGGAATACTCCCAAGCAAATACGTAGAGCTTCATTTTGTACGGTGTTGAGAAGCTTTAAGTCTGTTATAGTAGCTGACATGTAGAAAATTCTACCGTAGTTGGTGCTGGAACGGATAAGTGCTCTATAAATTCTCAGCAGTATTTGTTCATTGGCAGTGTGATCATAGGTTTTTTAGTATATTGAGCCTACCTAAACAGTTGTATTTGTTCTTTCCTCTTTCCAGCTAAGCTTCTTGTCGAATACGATCCCTAGAATTACAAATTCGTCGACAGTGGGAATGTTGAGATTATTTAACGTGATATTTGGAGTGAACTATTATTTTTTCTTCTGGAGATCTTAATGACTTTTGACTTTGTAGCTGAGAAGTTTAAGCCAGTTGTGATAGAACATTCCTAAATAGCGTCAACTATTTTTTGAATTATGTGGGCTGTAGTGATGGTATTCCTCCCTTTTATAAAGCCTTAATTGCCCAAGCACCAAGGTGCCGTTATTATGACATGATTTTTTGGGATTTACTCATCAGACACGTCAGTATCCCAATTAATGACGTTACTTTGACGTTTTTGCAACGTTAATTAGACGTCAATAGAGACTCGTCATTATGACGTAATTTTTTAGTATTAATTTTTCCGAAATACAATATCCTAAACAGTAACGTGTATTTGACGTCGCATTGATGACATAGAATAGACGTCACTTAGAATTCGTCATAATTATGTTATTTTTTCGTATACAAGTGTTGAATTGTAAAGAACCTAATTAGAAATCTGCTTCAACTGAAAACACGTATATATTAAGTTTTTTCGAGCTGCAGTTTCTAAATTTTTTTGGTAAAATGACGGTACCTTATGTTTTGATATGTATAATTAGTAACGTTTCGTTTTCTAGCATTCAAGATTTTGTTGCCTGTCTCTTTTTAACGTATGTCTAACCCAATTCCGATGCCCTCGAAACATATATGGCAATGAGTTTTGCTAATCTAGTACAATTGCACTGGATCTAGTACATCTTAAAGGTAACAGGTACGCTAGAAATGAAATTCAGTACATTGTCCGCTATCATTCAGTGTAATTAATATAAGTTAAACTAGTAAAAGTACCGTAAAGACCTAATAAATCCTAAATAATTGATAATATTCCTAAGGCAATCAGAGAGAAAACCGATCCTAGTACATTTTTATGAAATCTGGTACAATTATTTATACCAATCTAGTACTAAACTAAAAATATTCTGGCAATGTCGTATTGTCAATTGTCATTGTTGTTTACTGTTTCCTCCATCTTCATTATTCTCGTGACAGTCGGGACCTCGTGAATGTGGTGCATTTTTAAATTGTACTTTATTTAAAAAGATGTTTTAGAAAAAGGTAAAAAATAGAATGTGACAAAATAATAAAGTACAATAAACCGAACTTGGTATTTTACAGATGTATTGCAGTGTTGAATTTAAAAAACCGGATAATGACGGTCTGGAGGTTGTAAGGGGAGCAGAAAATGGCTGACGCCGCGTAAAAAACAAGTCTTTCTGTCGCCTTTATTAAGAAACATAATATAATATAAGACTGTTCAGTAATGTTATACTTTTATTTTTTGATTATGAGTTTTTTCAGGGTATTTTTTTTAATAGTTTATTTAAAGATGAAAGATTTGTAGGGGGTCACTTGATTTAGATACCTTTTACCATCTCACAGGATATATGATCTTTTTTTTTTTTTCATTAACTTTTATTATAAACTCAGACTATATGTATACCTCTGAGAAGGTAGTTTTTGGGGCTATACTACCTAAATCTCCGGTGAAGTAATCCCCTCAGATTTTACAACTAGATACACAAAATTTACTTTCTATCAAGACCTTTCTATACTTACAAATATCTCAAACTAAGCATAATTTAATAATAAACGCGAAAAAATCATCGGCCATTCTTTTTGCAAATGAGGCCCAAAAAAGGCAAAATCTTAATCAGCTAACATTGAGGTTAAACAATGAAAGCTCAATATTTTCTGATGTTTGCAAGAATTTAGGATTATATGTAGATTCAAAATTGAGATTTAAGAAAGATATAACGAATTGAATCCGTAAAGATTATCGGTCTTTAAAGCTTATTTTTAATCAAAGAAGCTACTTAAGTGCTGATACTAAAAAAACCTTGTGTGAAACCCTTGTTTTATCTCATTTTAACCACTGTGACGTAGTATACGCCCCTTACTTAGATAATTGTGATATTCACCATATTCAAAAGTGTCAAAACTCTTGTCTACGGATGATTTATGGTATCAGGAGAAGAGAACAGATCTCACATAAATCAAATTAGTTGATTAATTCTACTGTCTTTTTTTTTTCTGTATAGAATT